AGGTGTAGAAGGTTGTGCAAGTTCAATCATCACCATCTTATTACTTCAGTTTCCATCTGACAGCACTCTGCACCCTACAGTGAGTAAAGTTTCAACATTAGTGATAAGGTGTAACTTTAATGATCAGCATGGGTCATTTCATCAGCTATAGGATACAGACGAGAATAGAAACAAATACAAACAGTGCCTATCATTTTACTGAACTCTTAATGTGGCTTATAATGAACAGAACATTTTCAAAAAAGAGTTCCCAAATTAATACTCAAGCCTGCTTCAAACATAAAAAAAAACACAAGCAAGAAACCACCTAAATTACCAAAAACCTGTTTTTCTTCCCTGTCAATGTTTGCTGAAACAGAGCAGGCAGAATAAAAGCAATGACCAACTCAGGGAAGTTCCAGCATGCATACACCAGCACGGGACTTAAAATGACTTTGTAATCAGAGGGTTTAGAGAGCAAACAAAGAAGGAGGGACAGGAACCGAGGAATGATAGAGCGAGTCTATGAATTACTCAGCAGACACGTCTCTCCCTCTTTCCCCCCTGCAGGAGATAATAGGGGTCATCAGTCTCCTTGGCCTCCTTTTACGCCCCATCTTCTGACCGCTCATCTACATCCAGGTCAGCTGAGAAATACCACAGTATACCTTTTCAATAACTGTGCTGGGTAGAACTTGTTAGGAGGGGTTACAGTCTGCTAAGCAACCTTCTCATTAAGCAGACTTACAGAGCTAACTGGATTTAGGTGGTCAAAGGTTTTGTCATACGTTTGATATCACGTGTTTTAAAATGATACAAACACTGTTATTTTGGGAGTGATAGTGTTAAATTATTTTTAACCAAAAACTGAGGCGAGCAAAAGATAGACAGCAGCAGTTGTTCATTCAAGTTCACAGATCTGTTAATCCGAATACTTCAATTGGGTCTACATACCCTATACTTGGGGACAACTAAGGAAACTGTCTACTGCACACACAATGCTGCACACTCTCTAAATTGCAGAGATACATTAGCACATTAGTTTCAGTACCAAAATGTCACCAATGTATCTCTGCAATTAAGAGAGTGTAGAGCATTTTTTGGTCATTAAAACAATAAATGTCTCAATATTGGATGCCTAGGACTTCTATTTTTGTTAACCTGATATCTTAAACAGGTATATGTTTTTCGTTTGATTTTTATTATCGTATCAAAACTTGAAATTCTGCGACAACCCTAAACTGGATAACTGGACTGGTTTACGGTCTTTAAAACAATTTTTCTCACCCAGCTTCGAGTCCTACATGAGGAACTTCGGGATGATATTTTGGGGGCATTTTCCCCTTTTTCAGATGAAGAGTGAAAAGGCAGTTGGGAAATGGTGTGAAAGAGATTCAACCATTATAGATTTTACAAATGACACTTTATCTATTCTGCTTCTAAGACACTCCTGAAGTCATTCTATTATCTAAAACCTCTCTTTTAGCAAATACTAGGTCTCAGGTAGTATTTATCATGTTTTTCTAAGCTTTGACTGTAACTAATTTAAAAAGGGATATCTAATGTTATGGAGGAAAACAGATGTAAAGTCAACTTTTCAGGGGCTTTAAATCTCCTTATATAGCCTTTAATAGCCTTTTTACTTACTGAGTCCATTTTCCACATTTACAGTGAATCTGAAGGTACTGAAGGTACTGAAGGTATTCATATTATTTAGTAATCCTGCCACACTGTAATGGAATCGTGTCTATTAAAGGTCCCATATTATGCTTTTTCTGGTTTTATATGCCCTTTAGTGTGTTTTCCAAGTGTCCTGTGCATGTTTAGGCACATCTGTGAAAAAATTCAAAGTCCGCGGAAACGCGGCTTCTCCTACGTCCTCCTGTTAGCTGTAGCATTAGCCGCATGTAAAGCTTGGTTCTAGCCCCCCTCGATAAAAATTTGTCAGTGCGGCGTTATTGTCAGTGTGAGATCACTGATCTAAGCCCATTGGCTCGTTGTGGCAGGTCCAGCAGCTCATGTTGAAATTTCCGAGACACGTGCTGAGCAACTGACCAATAACGACAGAGCGGATCGGCAGACCAATCAGAGCAGACTTGGCTCACGTGGGGTCTAACAGTGTGGGCTCAGCAGAGTGTAGCTGACTGACTCAGAGTGTAGAGGGAGCAAGGAGGAGCAGTACATGAAAACAGACACTTTTTTCGGACTTTAGCTATTGTGAACATACAAAAGTAGGAACATAGATTAAATATACGAACCCCAAAAAGGGCAGAATATGGGCTCTTTAAGTAAAGCCTTTTTCATGATTAGTAAGTTACAAAACCATATTAAAAGCAGCATGTAAAGACAAGTTAGGAATAAAAGGGAAAAATTGAACATTATAGCTAGCACACATGCTCACTAAGAAATACATTGAAAATTAATGCATTATGCATCGCTTGAGGACGCACTATCTATTATAACACAATAAGAGTGCACAAGTTGTTTATTTGTCACATTAGCAGGCTGAAGCTGCTGACACTGGACTATTATCTAGCTCAGCTGCTGGATTGTCTCAGACTCATGTTATTCCAATGACTGCAGCTGCCAAACTGCTTAAGAAAACATACATGACACATCTATTCAACATCATGAATAATACAGTGTTTCTGCCTGCTCAGGCATACTAAAAAACCAAGATGAATCCCTCAGTGGGTCACAGACATGCCTAACTTTAAATCCCTGTGAGAAGAGCACAATGAGAAAGAGAGAAAACCTGCAGGATTGTCAGGCTCTCATCTCCTTCCAATAAATCCTAGACGTCTTTTATATCCTGAGACAGGATGCAACGGGGAGGCAACTGAAGGGCAACATCACGAGGTGAAGAGTTCGCAGCCGCTTACAGGAATAGGATTTGAGACCGGAGAGAAAGAGCTTGATTTCTCTTCACACACAAAAAGAGAATGACATTCTCCTCTTTGATCAGGGACAGAATAAAGGTAACATGGAATTGTGGAGTCACAGAGAGAGGCTGTGAAAGTTATTGAGCTGCATGGGAGAAGAAGCAGAAGGCAACAGAGGCAGAGAGAGATACTGCTATCACAGCTCCAACATGGCAGGATGTGACATGTGGAGAGCAGGAAGAGGAAACTGGACAGATATAGATTAATTTGGTTGCAGCTCCTGAAAACATGTCTATCCCATTAGGGCCCTTGGTGGCGGTTAATGTGCTTATCAAAGCGTGCACCTTTGGTCTTTTCCTCACCCCGGCCTGAGGCAGCCAGTGCTCCTGCAGCCAGTCTTCACAGGACAAGTAAAGGCTTTAATTTAACCACGGATCACTTGGTTTTCTATTGTTTCAAGTTTTAAGATTACAATGATTGCATTGTAGATTTCACATTTTCCTTAAAGCTGGCAAGAAATAGGGTCACACCCGCGGGTCAAACTCCAAAACTAATCAGACTTAATGTAGGCCATTAATTAGTATAGCTTTACAAAAGCTCAGCTAATTTAACCATGTGCGAACAACTCAAACACAGAATCACACTGAAACAATAGGTCTCATTGAACTAACACAAACACTAAAGGAAAGCTAGGTAAAAGAAAACTCATCAATAAACCTGATTTACTGTTCTCTAACCCCCCTTTTTAACAGTGCACTAAAACTGTGCTTTTAAGGATTTAATATCCACAGGAGACTACGCCTATAGCTTTGTTTAGTCTTTACTGTACTAAGTGTTTACAGTTAAATACAAAGTAATGAAGTAAAAAGAGGTTTTGGACTTCATCTTTTTTTTTCTTGGTTCATTTGTAGACTTGGCTGTAACATGATACGTCTAATATATTGTCTTTTAGTGAAGTGATTATGTAAATCCTAACAGTAAGCATCATTTCCAATTATAGAGGGCTTTGTATTTGGAAATGATATAATGCGGTTAAGGGACTGTCTAGTAGACATCCCTTCTTTGTTTATGTGTAAATGCAGCAATTATGATCAAAAGTTCTGTATAGAGCTTGGCTTGGAAGTAAGAATGAGGTTAGCTTTGGTTTAAAACATCTGGTTGTAAAAAGATTTAACTCATAGGATACAATCAAATGTATAGTGTCAAATGTAAGGATACATAATTTATTTGAGAAATAACAATTAATATAGTTTTATATAAGTCTGCAGATGCAAGACATCCATGAACAAATGCCTCTTCTTGCTCAATTTGTACTATAAGTTTATCAAAATGTAAAGTCAAAACAGTCATCCTAAAAGGGAGCAACTGAACCTAAAAACATATACAGTGTGCACCCGTACAAATGGACGCACACACAAAAAAGTTTGAATATCAGCAGCAGTATTCTTGAATTAAGTTTGTAGAAAAAAGATCGTCATGTTTGCTTACATAAACATTTAAAGCCCGCGTTGCCCTTATTCAGCAATGTTTCAACTTTTCTTATGATCTTGTACTTCCATGGTTTATGATTAAAAACAGTAATTACCATAAGATGGTGTCAGGTCATACAAGATGAGAATGGTTTGGCTTTTCAATTTCCCAGTTTCTTAAACTTTGGAGAGGACAAATGATCTGGTGAGGTGTACAGCAGGGCCACATTGGAGCAGCATGGGTGTGTCAGTTCAGCTGTTAACTATGAGGCTGATAGCCATCTGGCCAAACATGCTAACCTGTTTCTGCTTTCTGCAGGTTTGACATCTAAATGTCAGGTCTATGTGCATCACTTGTCTTCATCATAAGTCAAATAAAACATCATAACCATTTAACCAGAGTAATTTAGGTGAGTAAGCACACTGTAGTAAGCTGTAAGGAGGATATTACTACAGCAGAAGTTGAGTTTTGGGGGTGACTGGTGGTAGCAGAGGGACTTCTGGGATGCTGGCATGTTTTCAAACAAGAGCCACAAAGCTAAAGATAAAGGGCGGTGGTTCTGACAGCTGTCAAACATTATACTGTTTAAAGCACTCCTCCAGGAACAAATACAGCGTGCCTTTGCCAAGCGTTTGGTTTAGTTCTGTGTGCATGTTGTTGTCAACTTACCCTCTGAGAGCTCCAGCTCCAGCTCCGCCAGCTTCTCCCGGACCTCCGCCGGCAGGGTCATAGCGACAGCCGGCGTGGGCTCCAACATCATCGTTAACAACCCGCTTGAGGTTCTCTCAGCCATGGTGGTCCAGAACGAAGCACAAAATAGGTCCACTGAGTCGCAGGTGTGGTGGGACAACGCGACGAGGAATGAAATAAAAACAAGCCCTCCTTACTTGGTGTCGGATAAGGAGAGCAAACAGGGTGTTGGTGTTTCTCTGGTGTCGCTGCAGCGTCGTACAGATGTGTGAGAAATCTCTCCAGCCGTCATGACACGGCTAGCTGTGAGGCTAGCAGACACACCTGGCTGTGTGTTTCCATGTGGTTAGGACCCCCCTGTAAGTGTCTCCGTGTCTATCCCTGGACACTGACGGCGTCCCGACTGTCCGCGGCTGCCTCACTTCAACTGTGGAGAGAACTCATTCAACTCCTCGCTCGCTTCCCACGGCGCAGTCGCCATTGCATCATAGCAACAGCAGTCCCAGCCGTGCGCGTTCACGACACCTACTCCTGTGTTTGTGCGCGTCCATGTGAAGCTGCACGCTGTCTCCTGATGTTCCTAATAAAACTTGGCTGCCTCCTACTGTCACAATCACAGTGCTGCGTGGTACTAAAGTTTCTGTTAGAGCAACACAAAACTGGAATTCACTGCCCACCACTATCAAAGATATACATAGATACTCCACCTTTACAACACACCTTAAAACATGGCTGTCTGACAACTATAACTGCACACGTTAATCCCTGTCAGATGGGATATGAGTGTTTGATGTGACATAGTCATTGCTGCTGCCGCTGCTGTCTGCCTCCATGTTATGTCTTGTATGCGCTTTCAATGTGGCCTCTATGATTATTCTTTTCCCAGTATTGTCTTTATTGCATGAACTGCTTTGATTGTGCTTTGTTTGTGCCTGCTCCAATTGTGTGTGATATGTTGTATGTCTATTTTCCTTTTGCTTAGGCCTGTTGTAATTACAAATGTAATGTATTTTATTGCATTTTAAATCTTAACAATTGCATTTTAGGTTGCCTACTGACAACTGGCCGGGGACTACAGCTGGACATTAGCCGTAAAGGCTAAAGCTGCTTCTTTTACTGTACAGTAAATTAAAGGGGACTGTCCACGAAACAATAAACAAATAAACAAATAATATAAAATAAAAAAAGCGCATGCACTGTTGTTGTTTTTTTTTACTGTTATTACAATTTAAAGGTGTTTTTATTTGATTTGATTTTTTCATTTGTGGGAGGAGGGGGTCAAAATGGAATTATATTCTGGTCCTTGATTTCCAAGGCCGCTAGGTTAAAAGTAATTCTTATCACAAAATATGTATGCTTTAATTTAATTATAAATGCATAACGGTTTTATCAGTAATTGCTCCCTCCAAGCACAAACTGTGGCTGGCAATTATTTCAGATGTTATTTAAATTTCCCTTTAGAAGTTATATATTTACAACAAGAATACTTTGAAATTCTAAATTCTAGAGAAATGAGAGACAGCTAAGAGCACACTAAGAGTTGATAGTAAGACCTCCTCATAAGACAAAACATAATGAAGATATTGCATGTAGTCTGTGTAGGTTCTCACTCATCCAGGTCATGGTAAATGCTAAGCTCGAACTTTACTTCATATTCATGTGATTAAACTTCATGTTATACATACATCACAGCACATCGTAGAATTTGCGTATACACTGGAAACTTGCAGGTATACAGTACAGTATATAGACAATTTGATTACGATTAACTTCATGTATATTACACTCTTTGTTTTTAAAATAAAGCATGCTTTACCACAAGAAAAAAGTTAAGGTAAATTGGAAGGTGGATTAATCTGAGCTGAACAAATAGATAGATAGATAGATAGATAGATAGATAGATAGATAGGCTCAAAAATTATTTTCACATTAATAAATAAAATTACCTACACATACATGTTTTAGCTGCACTGTGAGAGGAAGCAAAAACACAATTCAAATGCATAACTAAAATGACAAAATAAGTCACATTTCATATTTGGAAAAGTGAGTTGTCTGTAATAAAAACAAAAACAAATCTGTCTTCTTAAATTAAAAATTAAAAAATAAAAGGATTAAATATATATAAACAACCATATGTTTTGTGATATAAGTGTTATTAGTTACACCACTAGGTGTCAGTCTATGCACAATAAAATGTTCTTCTATGGCAAGAAGTGTGTGGTTAAATAAAATAAGTAGCTGTCATTGTGAAGCGTTTAATGAAGGTGATATTGAGGAGCCCTCTATTGTAGGTAAAGATCTTTACGTAGAGTGTGTTTCAGTTCCAAGTGGTACATTGCTCTAGGGTTCCTCTTGTTGTGCTCAAAGATGTCTCCATTCACTTCAGTATGGACATTAACCAGGTGTGTTTTCCTGCAGATGACAATAAGAGATTAGTCTGATTCTAGATTTGATCATCTAAAGCTTGTTTGGAAAATGTATAACAGAATCTGTACCTCCTCCTGCCTTTGTGCAAGGCATCTGTCAAGGCCTTCAGGTAAACAGAGCGATGCTGTCCCTGCTCCAGCTGCCGCTCATCCGTCGAGCAGTGACTCCAGAACACATCGGCATCTGAAGGGATGACATCTCTTCTGAACAACCCATCTGTCTCCAGATCCTCATCCAGTGCTGCATCCTGGCACAGGGTTGAAACTCAGGGACGCTGTACCTCTGGATGAAGAAGAGTTTGGGCTTGCCGGCCAGCATGGGGCATGATTCTGCAGTGAACATACCTCTGATGCTGTCCAGACCAAGTCCTGCAACATTTGAGTCTGTACCCAGGATGTGGCCGTCTGTACCTCGGCTAATGATGCAACAGACAAAGCAGTCTCCTTCAAGGTTCTGTCTTTGTCTGAATGTCTCTCTGAGAGCTGCAAGAGTGGCGTCCACACTCAGCCACTTGTAGAGGAGGACATTGAAGAGAAGAGCCTGGAACGTCTGTTCCAACATGTCTGAGGGAGGAAGATTAAACCAGAATTTAGGTTTAAGCCTAAAGGTTATTATTAGATAAAGACAAAGCATTTTAAACCTACAGGTGCTACCAATAGTGTTTTTAGACTGATTTTCTTTTCCATCCAGCAGTTTAAAACCAAAATATAAAATTTACTGTCAATTTGTTCCCATTAGCTCAGGCTAGTGAGCTCTACAAAAACTACTTATCCAGTTTAGTAAACTGGTAGTAACTGGAAGGTAAAATAATGTTGTTTTTTTTCCAGAATTTTTTTCTCTCTTATTCATCCTCCAATGAATGACCCATGGGATCTCCCATGTGACCTCCACTACATTGGAAAACCACTGGTCAAAATGATCTGGCTCCCTCTGCTGGTCCTTCAACATCAGAGAGGTACTCAGAAAGGCACAACAAAGACTCTTTTTTTAAAGGTGTCAAAAATCATTGGATCACCACTGCCACAGGTACAGGACAATATACACCACCCGCTAATTAAAAAAACTAATTAAACTAATTAAAGCATTTAAGCTAGCACTAGGTGCAAGTGTCTCACCTCCATCATTTCCAATGCAGTCTATGATAACACAAACCCCTCTGGGATTAGTGTTGAATTTGTACCTGTCAAGTTGACTCTGTGATACAAAAGAACACACAAAGAATTAATGCAATTCACAAATTTAAAGCAATGAATTCTACAGTAAGAAAAACTGCACTATCAGTGAGAGTGAGGGAAACCCCTACCTGACAGCTCTGCGCTCTGTATTCAGTCACACGTTTATTTTCTGGAGCTGACAACAAAAAGTGAAAGAGTTAGTTCACAATCGAATGTCAAACAGGAGTTACCCGTGTTTCTCGGGATTGAGTGACCTCTCTTTCTGAAACGGAAAAACCCAGAGTTTCCCTCATTTCAGGGTTAACTGACTCAGTGTTTGCACAAAACCTGCTTACTACCCCAGCTCACCCAGACATCACATTTAGATTTTAGAACAATGAAAAATAACAAACATACATATACATATATATGTACACATACACACATAAGCATATGCATATACTGTATACATAAACACACACACATATATATATATAGAGATATATATATACACACATCATAGATAAACAAAATCACATGTCTTTGTAGTTACTGAATAAGCTTTAATATAGCATGTCTTACCTCGATTGATGACTTGTCCTTGTCTAGGTTGGCATGGAGAGTGGGAACTATACGGCGTGGTAATTGGACCCTAAGGAGAACATGTTTTTCAAAAGCATAAGAGGGGGGGAGTACATCATACAACATATGTGTTCACTTTTGTTCCATATAATACTCACAGGAGAGCTGAACAGTTGATGCTGATGTGATTGTGATTGTTGCTCAGAAGGTGTCACTGTTGTAAACAGAAAAACAAATAAACACATTACAGTTTGGACGAATCACATTTTTTTTGTGTGTGTTTTTAAACTAAAACTATAAACATCAAGAGCAGTGCATCTGGAACTTGTGCATGGTTAAATGTTACAGCACCAATGTTACTGTATGTCCATGTTAAATAAACAAACAAATAAAATAAATAAACAATAATAACATTTGGAATAATTTAACACTTACAACATATGTCTGTTAAATAATCTTTAATATGTGGAACAGGGTGTCAGGAATCAATGATCAAGATATGCTTGTTAAATCATACAGAAAATGAAATTAAGTTTCATTCTTTCATACCATAGTTGATATAGTCTGACACATGCCAGAGTACCCTATTAGTCATGGTCACTGTAAAAATGTAGGTCATACAGGAATGTTTCCTTTGTGTTACTGCCAGCAGTTTATGTGAGTGGTAGAGTCATGGACCACATTCCGATATGACAGATACCCCAATGAATGTCATTCATTTGTCTAGAGAACGTATTATGATTTCTTAATTACAATATTTTTATTTCAAAGCTCAATAAATGACATTTTCCGTGTATTCTTATATGAGGTATGTAGAAGTGGATGTAAACAACACTCTTACCTGAAGTCCTGTACTTCATCACTTTTTTCGCCAGGTCCACCCTGCTGATGTTCATTAAACATTCCTCTACAAAGTCCACTCTCTCAGGGGACACTTTGTCCAGCTTTTCAAGTTCAATGATGATATCCAGGAAATTCTATCACAGAGAACAGAGAAGGGGAAGTTGGGATTTCCGTAGAATAGTCATGTAAATGTGTGTAACATGACCAAAACTGCCCTCCCACAGACTCCCACGCCAGACTTATTCAGTAAGTAAAACCGAAGCCAAACTTTACCTTTGCTTTTTCCAAGTTTTCACGTGGTATTATACTGCTTAACAAGAATTTCACGCTGTCCAGATCATTGTTGGTCATATCTTCACTTATATTAGCCATTAACACTCTGTAGTAAGAGACAAAACCCAAACATTATTACCTTGAGATACACAAGCATGATAAGTACCTTGGATTAGGAACCAGTCTTACCTGAAACGCGGCAGACATTGTCTATAGGTAAGAGTCCTCTCCACGTCTTCCTTGCTGGTTTTACACACCTTCCTCAGGATATCAAAACGTCTAAGCCGCAACATCAGCTCTGTCAGAAGCAGGTGACCTCTCTCCTGGCGAAGCACTTTGGACTTCAGTATCTCCTTCACACATGTCACACTAGGATCCGTGTCCAGACTTCCACACAGGTACAGCAGCCTGCTGCTTTCACAGCTGCTGAGAGCGTCTGCTATTTGATTAATCGCCTGAAGCTGGTGTTGGTCTTGAATAGACATGGACATCGCTATAGGCCTACGAGGAGAAAACACAATTATATGTTGATTAACAAAAGAACACTGTCAACAACAAAATGTATCGGTGACGGTAAGGATTACTGAAATAACCTACCTATCACCGTCGTAAAGCAGAAAGAGTCCCTAAAGAGACAAGTTAAGAAGAACCAGACATATAAAACATGACGCACTTCCCAAAAAGTGCTGGGGAAGTCCCTTAATGCAAATTGAAAGCACTCCGTGATCGCCGAACATAGTCACCAGACTGCTGAAAAGAAAAGAAAGGGTATGTGCTCTTGATTACGGAATAATCACGTAATAATACGCAAATTCTTCTTTTAGGTTCCATTCAAAAGTGCACAAATGGCTGCAGCTAAAGTGAAAGTGAAAGTTACACACAAAGAAGCGGCAGATCTGTGACAACGTATTCTTCAAGGCGCACAAAAAAATCGTGGCAGCAGATTATCTGTGGCAGCCCGGTATTGTTATTTGTATAGTTTATTAGTAATCCATAAACATTTGTGAACCATTGATACATAATTGAGTTACATATTACAATTATTATGAGCCTTTTTAAAGAATACCTTATCATATACAAAATGAATATAATATCAATGTATATGTATCAATAATAAATATAATACAATATATCGCTGCTCTTTCTGTTATGTTTTACAAGTTTGTTAATTTATGCAAATGTATTCTGTAATCAAATCATGTTTGTTGGCTGCATGGGGGGGTGTAGTGTAAAAAGAATTAAGTAATGTTGAACAAAGGTGATTTTCTTCTCATCAACAAGGCCTTATTATCTTATTATCCATAAGAAAAGACCTAAAATAATCCAAAAGCGTCTCTTCTGATATCTTTATCTGCTGATTGTACGTCTCCCTATGTCAATACTGTCCATTTTCAACTCTGTTTTTGCACATGTACATTTAATCTTTCATACTTTAGACTAGTAAATTAAATCCTGGTTGTATATATTCACATTCTTAGTTTTGATATTTTTAGTGATTATTTACTTTGTATTTAATATTATATTGTGTTTAGATTTGCTAATATTGTGTTTTTTGCTAACATTGTGTGTTTGGACAACCTGCTGCTGTAACGCCACAATTTCCGAGTTTGGGATCAATAAAGTAATTATATTCTATTAACGCTTTCGAAGTATTCAGATTTTTAAGTTAACAATTATTTATTTGGTATATACCATAGAATGTATGGTATATACATTTACTGTATTCTAACGCAACATTAATCTATTCTAGGCTATTCAGTGAAACCAGGTTTTTCAATTTTCTTGTGTGGATCAATTAATACGTGGGCTCAAATCATGATACTGAATTTTCCGACAGCCTTGAATGTATCACCGCTGCTCCCCCTGCAGGTCGCCAAAGCGCAGAGAGTTCCGCTTACACTGGCCAATCGCTTGTACCGCTGTTCAGTACCATTGCAGTGTGAGGGGATCACAGAGGTGCAGCTTGCGGAGAGAGAGGGACCATTTGGAGGAAAGGTACTCTACCGGGGGTGACCGCTCGGGGAAAATACCTCGCTGCTTCCCCGATAAAGTCCCGTGTTATTTCTATAAGCAGCCTCTGTGGAGGTGAGTGTTTTATTACCTTGTGACTAGAGGAACATTTAGGGTTTTCCAGGTAGTCGTGGTAGCTGGTGAGTTAGAACATCATCAGAGGTGTTGTGTTGATGTAAGTTAAACCCGTGGTGAGGGCCAATGCCAATTCAAGTGTTGACTGTCTTTAGCTAGAGACCAGATAATGAATGCTTCAGTGCTTGCTCGTATCGGCCTGGTCACGACTGGGGGGGTGGGGGGGGGTACATTGGGGATGAGGATGTCCGACAGCTGCTGACTGGAGCAGGCTAACAGCAGCTAACGTTGACGTACAGGTTCAGGCTGTCGTGGCAACGTGAGCAGACGTTAGCTAGTTAGCAGTGAAGTAAAGGGCTAACAGCTGCGTATACTCACAACATGTCAGGTAGAAGGTAAGACAGCACAGTGCACAGAAACCTACTGAAATGTCTGTGTTTACACTGTGGTATTTCAAGTTGTTCAGTTTGTTCACAAACAGGGTTTTTTTTTGGAGATAAATGGCGGAAGTGCACATTTTGCATTCTTTTTTACATTTATTTATTTATTTGTTAGGGTCAGTGCATATTAATGAACAGCTGTAACAATTACAGCTGTAAAAATGCCAGATCATAGCAGAAGTGCTAGTTTCCATCTGTTGTCCCTAGGCAGGTAACAGAGAAAGACAAATTACAAATAAAATACAAAGGCACAAGTGACACAAGACAATAATAGAGGTTAAAGGTTAAAGGTGGTCACAGACTTGGTTTTCTTTTATCCACTGTTTGAGGTGTGTTTTGAAGGTAGCATATGTTTGTGAGTCTCTTCTTGTGAGTGGGAGAATATTCCAATATTTAGTTCCTTTGACTGACAGAACAGTCTGAATGTAGTGCGTCTGTGTGGGACCTCACAGTCTCCTCGGGCTGTGGCCGTTCTTCAAGGCATAATGTACATAACTTTTATTTGCCCAAATAATTCTTCGGTTCATATATCTATCACGTCTTTCAAGCTTTGAAGTGGCATTAAAGCGTTGGGTCTGATTTTGTTAAGTGCCGTAAATTGGCCTGAAGAATTTATTTAAAGAATAAATCACTACTATACATTATTTCTAGACTATTAGTAGCCAAACCTCATCTCTCAATTTTGCTTTCAATGACCACTACACATGTGTGGGCATAAGTTTGTACAGGTGACGGGGTCTGGTTACCAGTGAGTATGTACAAACAATTAAGAATGTTTATTTAAAAGTTGCCACAAGAGTGCACAGTGAATATCCAGTTTCAGCTAGAAACATTTAATCTGTTTGAGCTGCTCTGGAGCCTCCTGCTTGCACCTGCATCCATTTAGTTGGCGACATCTTCCTCCAATTCTGTTAAAGAAACTGTTTCTTATGTCATTGGACAAAATTCAGTGCTTAGTCATTCCAACAAGCCACAATCAATCCTTACAACATCCCTAAACATTGCTCTTAGCTGTGCAGTGCCAGTTCATGTATGCCTTGTTAATCATTTTTAGCTGCTTGGAGCTATATTTGTCATGATAAGTATACTACCCTTCAAATAATGGCATCATGGGCAACGATGTAGAGCTAAAGTTCCAGATAATTCCTTGCCATCTGCTGCTCATCCTCAGTCATCATCCATCTCTCCTCCTCCTCCTTTGCTCAGTGTCTGCCATTGTGTTTTGGGACTGGGCTATCATCAGAGCTGTGGCCTATTTTAGACAGGAACTCCATTTACCCACTTAATCTGTGTCTCTGTCTTCAGGAGGTTAATTTTTTTGTATTCCTTGGTGGTATAAATGGCAGCATATTCAGCCCAAGGTCTTTGGTGAGCAGTAAAATGTGGTGGACCATATTGTGTGGATTTTGATTACACTGAACTGAAGTTGAAGGTGCTGATAATCTTCTCCAAGGAGATTCAGTTGAAGCTCAAGTCAACTCTTTTAGCATGTGTGCAGGAATGATACATAAAAGTTAACTAATAGTTATGCACGTCATCATTGATGGTTTGACACACAACTGCAGCAGATGTGAACTCATTGAGACTTCTCTGAACCAAAACAAATGTAACCATAACTGTATTGAGCTCCATAGTGTGTTGCCTCCCTCCCACCTGAGCTGATGCACACGCCTAGGGGATCAAAGCTGTAATTAGCCTGCCATGGATTAGCAGTGGGGACTGTTTTCCACTGTACTAGCTCCCACTGAGCCAGAGGATCACAGAGACAGGCAGCCCCCCCTGCACTTTCTTCTCTGTCGGTTGAGAAAGTCTGAACGGCCATGTTTGTTTTTGGAGGCCAGCAAACAGAAAACCCAACAGTTCTGCCCTGGAGTCTTTGGTTATTCAGATCTGCTTTATTTGATCATGTCTTTTCCTGTTTGTTGCTGTTATTGTGGTCCTCAGAATAAATATCAGATCTTGATGTAAGTTTACAAGTCGTCATTGAAGTCTTTTTCTAGTGATTTTTTTGTTTTTAGAGCAGACGATCCTCAGAATCAGCTGGATATGTGGTTGGCATGCAGAGAGAGCTGTGGTGCTGCTGACTCACTGCACTGCCAGGTATGAGTCCTGTCTACATGTTGGCTGTCTCTGTGATGTACTGTATGTCTGTCTCTCAGGCCCCCCCCTTGCTCAGAGGCTTGTCTCTCTGTCAGCCAAACAAGAGTTCATACTGTTCCTCTGGGGACTCCAGAGAGGTGGAGCAGCATAATGCTTGTGTACTCTCTTGTTTGTGTATGAATCAATGCTCTCACAACTGATTTCAATAAGGTTTAGGAATCACAGGGTATATATCCACAGACAATGGTGTTACCATGCAGGCAGTTCTGCAAAATGCATGTCAGGAAGTAGACTGACGTTTCATTACTGTATTTCTCTACTGGGCTGCACATTGAAAGGCGATGTACTGAGATGACATATGACCACCCAAACCTGATAAGAAAAAGAAAACAATCAAGTCCACATGTTTTATATGCAGGAATCATTAAATGTTTGGAGTCTTTTCTTGATATATTGTTAAATCAATCAATACATAATTAAAATTGTTTAGATTATACAAACTGTATTGAAATTATTTTAAACAATTTAAGTGGAAGTATATTAGTGTGTAACAAAGTGTGTAGCTAATAATCATTTCAGCATTGATGTGTGTAGGAAATAAAGAACATACCGGTACTTCAATCACATCCCCACTAATACTTAAGGTGCGTTCCCTTTACCTCAGAACTCGGATTTCGGAGCGTCACACTCGAGTAAACTGCGTTTAATTCGCTAATACCTGACGATAACAACACACTATGTGATAGTTTGCATGCATAAATATCATGACAACATGTCTACAGATAGAACTTGCACGATACTATCTGTGTGATTGATTTTATTACACAAAAAGAGGACTAAGCTGCTAATAAACACATTAGTTACAGCTTAAACTTTACTGTTGATGCACGTAGCTGCCATGTTGGATTTTAACTCCGACTACTGAAGTTGCTCCGAGTTTCCAGGGGAGTTCCTAATGATATATCAGACCAGTTAGTCAGAATTTCCGACTTCCGAGATCAAATGGAACGCATCATTAGCCTTTTATTATTGACTGATGAAATTTAAAAGAAGGGTCAAAATGCGCAATTACAATATCCTACCCAGTTAAAATGTGCCACTTCATCGATGACCTCTCATAGGGGAGAATGTATTGTGACACTGTGCAAATTCTTAGTTGCACAGTGGTAAAATCAAACCTTTGATTTGCATATTTTTTCTAATAAATATTGCAAAATGTAAATATTCAAGTTAATACATTTGATTCATCAAAACACACTGTAGCTGACGACAGCATGTGATATGCAGCAATAGAAGAGAGTAGAGCCTGTGAATGTTTGACATTTTTTGCTGGATCAATGACCAACCCTGCCACCCTGAAGTCATGTCCCAGAGGACAAAATGGTTAGAGAAGTTGAACAACACAAAGGCTTTCCCCACTTTGACGAAACCCAATTGAATGTGTGTGTGAAAGGAATACATGAGATCTCGATAAGCGTCTTGCTTTTATACATTGATATATGACGAATCACAACCAAAATGTAAGAAGATTGGGGGAAAGAAAACAAGTTAAAGTATACTAGAAAGCTGTGTAGCTGCAGAGGAAATGAGATCAGTTTTGGTGTCTCTTCTGATTTTAACCTCTTGAAAAAACAAAAGTGTGCGAATTTTCACAGAAGTAGGATTTGTGATTGAAGCTCCCCCTGTTTGCACATGCATTAGAATATTACATTTCATCAGCAAAAGCTTAAACTACCAGTTGTTAACTTTCATTTTGCATGGCTTTCAGTTTGATATTTGGGGTAAGAGGTAATCACATACCGGTAATTATGCAGAATAATATCTCACATGAGTCATGTCGTTATTTCAGACTGTAAACCACTGAAAGTTAACAGAAGCTGTTGAATAAAAATAAAAACATGACCTGCTGCTCCTCTGGTAACATATCATTTGAGACTGAAGTGCACCTGAATGCTTACACTGTTGGATATCAGATGGTAGTGTTTCTGTTCAGAGTGAAAAATACAAGCTCTGTATTAATAAGGCAGTATGTACAGTTTGTTTTAGCACAGATAGGTCATCATCCTCTCAGAGCAAATGTTCTCTGCTGGGCTTTACCTCCCTATAGATCTGCTCTCTGCTCTCCTGCTCAGCTTTCCGGTCACGACTCAGCGCCCGCCTGAAGTTGAACAGGTGCCAAACCTGGTTGATTCCAGAAGCCTTTCCATTATTGCCAGTTATTTGTTTTTGTGATATGAAGAAAGACGTGGAAAGAGAATGGTGGCTTTAAGCTGTCATGTGTCCCCTTACATTTAGTCTGGCCATCTTTGGTTAAACTTAAAATAAAAAGTATGCAACATAACTGATCAAATATGAGAACTCAGTCCAAAGAGAATGAACAGCTTGCTTTATGTAATTCAATTGTTTTTGGTTCTAGGTTCTAAAAATACTGAGTGACTGAGTGTTTCATGACAAGCCAAAGTCTGGCAAGGGCTTAATTCTTATTAGCTTGGGTGTGGTGGCTCTCTGCTATTGTCCGGCTCGTCTAATATCTTTTCTTCTGCTGCAGTGGGAAATATGGAGCCAAAAATGGGCCCACATTATTGTTGGTTTTCATTCTGCAGAAAAAAATTTGATTTAACGGCTATTATGAGGCTCTTGGGTGGGAGGAAGTAGAGAGAGGCCAAGCTCTTTTTCCTGGTATTCGGCAGGTTTTGCAGGCCCCCCGTCATCTGAAGACGTGGTCTATTAACACCCACTCTCCTCTGTTTTCCACCATGTTGAGCCTTTGGTCATGCAGGCTTAGGTCTCGGCGTCTGTGGGCTGTGAAGTGGTCTTGGCATGTCACAAAGCTCAAGGTGGCCCATTGTTAGCAGAGTGCTGAGCAGCTTATATGGCAGTGAAGAGTTTTCCTCTGGAGTAAAGTTATGGTCAGCTGTTCCCCCTCACACACTGGGCAGTGTGCACACACTGTCAGCAGCTGTGTTAAAAACTGTGGATTTAGCAGGTCATGTGTCCGTGGTCTGAACTGACGGTGAACTTGTAACTGCCCAAGCTTTAATTGAAGAAAAAAGAAAAACACCTCTGTCTCATGGCTCTAGTAAACACTGTTTACATCTTCTACAATCACCCTGCTCTGCTGCATGGACTTCTATTGGTGAAGCTTATAATGTTTACCCTTTGAGGACAAGAGTTGAATAACCTCTGGGGCATTCTTTCAGGAAGTAGCGACTTGCAGATTTTAAAATGAACAGTGTTGTACAGAAAATAATGCTTTTCACTTCTAAGAGAAACTAGCCATTGAGTTAAATCAACACTTCCTCAACACCACGTCAAGAATTGAATATTATTCCCTTGATATGGATTGGATTTATTTTACAGCACAGTTTTATTTCCTTGCGTTTGGTAGTTGTACTCTGTAAGCTCTAGATTGTGAACTTCCTTCCATTACATGATATGGTTTGGGGGACGTTAACATTGCTGCCCCTAGAACAGGTTAAAGCTCCCCCTGTGAGGACATTTTAGCTGAAATAAAACACACTGTAAGTTTATACTGATGCCTCTATATGTGCCACAAAAGCAATCAAGACGATCAGCTACAAGATTGATTCTTTTTATATAGTCACTTAATGCCTGGCTGTTACCACTGCCACCTGGTACACAACTGATAAAATGTTATGCAGCTTACGCAGACTGGAAGTGCCTTTATTTAAGTTAATACAGCCAAGACTCAGCAAGGGATACATTTGACTGTTTAAGGAGCCCAGGATGAGATTTTTCTGATAGTACTTCTGGAGCACTTGGACATTTCCCGGTGGCCTATGATAGTATTTGGCCTTCTCTGAGCAGCAAGAATGAGAGAATAGATCTTTCTGAACACACGCATTGTCAAATACAAGTACGACTCTTGTGTTTGGTTTATTGTGCTCAGCGAGTTGCCGTAGCGTCCAGGACGCGGTCAGCAAAAAAACAAAACTGACGTCATAGCATCTGACATAACTGACTACCTGCTGCCTCTCAACAAACATTGACAAAATTAGTGCCAGGTGAAATGAACGGTCACAAGAAAAGGTCAGCCAATCAAAAAAATCACAAGCTCCTGAAAGTGCAAACATGCTGTGGCCTACAGCTAATCAATGAATCACAGTAGCTTCATCACATGGATGGAGCTCACATAAATGACATCAGTACATTTTTCTAATGCTATATCTGACTAGAAATTATGATTTAAAGCTTTATTTATGAAACAGGTAAAATAATTTACCGATGTTTTATAACATCTGGAGAACGGAATTTATAGGCCAGAGCATTTAGATATTGCTCTTAGTCGAATTGGGATTATTTTATTATTTTACAGGTAATTGTGCTGTACGTTAGCTTACACAATTAGTGGTTCATGTGGTCAGGGTGACCTGGGACGGAGTAAACCTCCCAACCTGACTTATTATCACAGTTCGCTTTAGCTTATGCTTGTACAGTTTGTTTGTTTTTTAAAAATGTATTTCATTTGAAATGCCTTGCCTTGCCATGCCACTATAACCATTCTATTTTTAGTTCATAAGTGCTTGCTTATTATGAAAGTTGTCAACAGATAACAACCATTGTTACTTATTCTTGATGGGAGTTGTGATCGGCTCTAAAAGCAACATTTTTCTCCTTCCTCCTGTGCTATTATGTGCAGGTGAGGTTATTGTCGGGCACTTTGTGGTGCCTGGATACAGCATGTGTTTGTATGTTTGCTCATCCTGCATGTAGATGTGAAAACACACAACATTTGCATTGAGAGCATTTATGTTTGATCAGGGAGGAAGTAGGCAGGATGCTGTTGGCTCTCACCTGTGCTGTTGTGTGTAGTGGCACAACCTCGTCTAATTGGTGGAACCATGCCTGCGTCTGTTTGTGTGTGCATGTGTATGTGTGTACTGAGTTGCAACACAGGCCCATCCCAACACGTCTGGCCCTGCAGCTGCAGCAGATCTAAATTTAGCCCAGGATGTGCGTACGCCTCAGTTCCCCGTGCC